ACTCGTACTACTGAAGCGGCGTGCCCACCCTCCCTCGTTGTCTTCCTCCTCCTCCTCCTTTTCCTCCTTCCCCTTGCCCCCTCCTCTGCGACTGCGACCGCGCCGTGGCAGTGATGACCCCAACTTGTTTGCACATTTGCCGACCCTCGTGAGTGACCCGCAGGAAATTGAGCAATACGTGTTTATTTGTTGTTGTTACTTTTTGGTTTTGGTTTTTAAACGTTGATTGTTGTAATGTTTTGTTTTGTTCTGTGTGTTTTTTTTTTCTTGGTGCTTATATTTTTTCTTGGGTTGTTGTTTTTTTGGATGTTTTTGTGTGTAGTGATTGTTGTATCCACATATTGTAGCGCTTAGCGTGTTGTGCAATTTGTTTTTGGTCCGCTGGCTTTTTATTTATTACGTTGGCTGTGCGTGTGTATTTGAGTCTTTTGAAAGTTGCCGAATGGAGTTGATGTTGGAGAATGGGGCGTCGCGTGTAGGTGTGGACCTGGAGGATGTTCAGGGGCAGGTGGACCGTTTGTACGAACATATTCTTGCTAGTGTCAATATGTCGCTTGACAAGGCATCAGCTGACGGTTGTGAGGCGAACGCGGGAAAACAGCGGCGGGTGCGTCCGTCGTGTAAGCCGGTGTCGGCGGCGGTGGTAGTCATGAGGCGCGGCGTGTCTTTGGAAAGTGTCGCTCCTGTGATGAAGGACGTTGTGTCCGCGGGTGAGGCGGTGCGCCTCTGTGCCGAGGAGGCGTTGGAGGTGTCCAGCACCACGGCATCGACGATCCTGCTGAGCGACGTGGGCTGTGCCGGTTGGTCAGACATGTCAAAGGTCCATGCAGGTGGCGTTTCACGCAGTTTGTTGCCGCCACAGCGGATTGCAGCTGCAGCGTGTGCCGGTGTTAGTCGCGGTGGTCGGGGTGCGACGTTGCGGCGGCGGAAACCGGCCTCAACGTTCGGCAGTGGTCGCAGTGGCATGTGTGACCCGATTAAAAAGACGTCCGCGCCGGGTCCGGGGTCTTACTTTTGCAGTGACGCTGATGATACCGCGCGGCCGCGTGTCGCAGCGCATCGTGGCCGTGGCAGCAAAGGCCTCACTGAAGCTGGAGGCACGGTCGCCAATGGCGGCGTTGCCTCAGGCAACGCTCGTCACACGCACCGCAGCGCAGAGGATGCGGCGAAGGCGTTGCGCTGCCAGTTCGCGCTGCTGTGCCAGTGCTACTGGAAGCAGTTTCCGGAGCTGGAGCTGCCGACCAATGCCGCGGCGCACGCGACAAACTGCCCGTGCCAATCCATCCGCATGGCGTCCACAGGGATGGATAGCAGCAGCAGCAGTAGTAGTAGTAGCAGCAGCAGTGATTGTGTGCGCGTGGATGCAAACAAAGCTCGACGGCGTGCACCAGCCGTTTCTCGCACGTCATCCCCATCGCTTGCAGTGCATCAGTCACCAAACCGCGGTGCCGTGTTTGGCACCGCGCGGCGTCGAACACCCTTTGCGGAGGAGTCGCCGCAGGTGACCCGGATGAAAAGCACGGAAAAGCAGCAGCGAGGTGAATGCGTTCCGGCGACGCGGGAAACGACGGCCTCGCGTGGACCGCCGGCGGAGGTGGCCTCAGTGCCCGGTCCCGGTGCGTACAACGTTGCCAGCGCCTTTGACGCGGCTTCTCCACGCGGGGCGTCAAGGGGCGTCTCTATCGGACGGGCGGCGCGGCGGCTGCACACGTCGACGGAGTCCCCGGGGCCAGGGGCGTATGACACTGCGCCGACAGAAGAAGCGAAAATTCACGGCAAGAGGAACTACTTTCTTACGACAAGCCCACGTCTTTTGCACTTGGGGGCGAAGCACGATAGTGAGGGAGGTCCCGGTCCCGCGGAGTATTCTACTGAGCAGGCGGCACGCAGTGACGCACGACACAAAAATGCTCCGGCGTTTTCGTTTGGCCGCGCCAAACTGCCGGGCAAGTCTACGGCGGTCCGCAGCACTGCCGCTGCTGTGGAGAGCGGCGATGCGGTTCCGGGCCCAGGAACATATGACGTCTCCACGACGTTGCCGGACGGTGGGGTGGTGAGGGCCGGAAGAAGTGCGGTGATCCCAACCGCCAGACGCGACGGAAGCACGTGGTGTGGCGTGTATTACCCGCCCGACAATGTACCAGGCCCCGGGCATTACGTGCTTTCAACGGAGTCGACCGGACCACAGTGGACCTTCTCCGCGCGGCGGTCGCCTGATGTCGCTGATGAGCCTACGCCTGGTCCAGGTGATTACTTCGTTCCCATCTTTGATCTGCGGCGGGAGCGCGTCGCAACAGCGTCGTTTGCTACGGCGCCACGTTTCCCGCCTGGAGTGGTGGATCCAGCGGCGAACCTTCCTGGACCTGGGACGTACGATATGGACGGCGTAGCAGATTTCACACGGTCGGTCGTCATGGGAACGGCGCACCGCGCACTCACACTGGGTGTCTCCACGGAAGACGTACCAGGGCCTGGTGCATACGTCCCTCAGCACACAGCACATGAACGACACGTTGCAGTTCCGATTCTTGCGTCCACCGCACCACGGTTTGACAGTAATGGCAACACTGACGCCAGTGCGTCGCTCCCTGGGCCCGGGTACTATTATTTTGAGGATCATGCGGCAACCCTCAATCCACGCGGCGCGGCTATTGGAACCGCATCGCGGCCCTTGAACCTTGATGCTGTTGCCGCAACTGATGCAGGTCCGGGGGCCTATGACACTAGCCTACCCAGGGGTGGCCCCTTCTTTTCAATGCGACAGCGGGTGTTGGATCCCGCCACAGTGGGAGAGCCGACGCCTGGGCCAGGGATGTACGACGCACGGGGGTTGGCGTCAGGCCCGAGCGCCTTCGTGGGCGTTGCGGCGCGCTTTCCGTCGGGTGACGCAGAGAAGCTGCGCAACCGTGTCCCTGGTCCTGGTGCCTACGAAGCTGTGTTACCTGCCACAACATCCATGACAGCGGTTTTTGGTACCAGCCCTCGCTTGCTCAGCAATGAGGACGCCATGGGGCAGAAGCTGGGCGGAGGACTTGGCCCTGGCGTCTACGATCCGCAGGAGGTGCGGAGCAACGTGGCCGGTGCCGCATGGAGCAGCAGTCCTCGGTTTATCCAAGATGAAAGGAAAGAAGTGCCTGGACCTGGGGCATACGAGGTTGCCACACCTTCGCCCACGCGTCGCGTTGTCTTTCGGACCGCAAACGATGGCTCGGATTGGCTTATCCCCGCCGACGCGGCGGAGCGCCCTGGGCCCGGATCATATCTCCCGCAAGCGGCAGAAGAGCGGACGGCGGCTGCAGTGGTGTTTGGTTCCGCCCCGAAAAATGTGTTTTCGCCCGAGGAACGAGAGAGTGTCATGCAACGGCACGTTGGTCCGGGATCGTATGATGTGACGCTGCAGGTTCCACATGCATTTCACGCGACGTTTGGAGGCGCCAATCTGGGACGGCTGGAGCAGGAAAAGGCCGACGATAAAACCCCCGGGCCAGGACACTACAGTTTAGCCGAGGGCCATGTTCCGCTGCCGCGGGATGTGGTGTTTGGTACAGCCGCCCGAATGCCGTCATCGCAGCATGCGGAGAAGACTCCAGGTCCTGGGGCGTACACGCCCTTACTGCAGCCTAATGAGGTATCCCCAACAGGGCCAGTCTCCTTCCCGACGGCCCCTCGCTTCCATGACGCTAGTGCCAGGACCGGTGCTGACAGCGACGCTGCCACCCCAGGGCCTGGCGCCTACGCCTTGGACAGTGAAGGGAGACAGACACGGGGTGGGGGCGCCTACATGTTCGGAACGGAACCCCGCATTTCAGACCACGAGCGACACGCGCAGGGGCTCTTTCCTGGGCCCGGTCAATACGAATGCTCCCATGAGGTGACGATGGCGAACGGTCCGGCCTACTCCTTTGGGAAGGAACCCCGCACCTTCATGCATGCGGCTGAAGATGGAGGTGGGACCACCAGTGGAGGTGTCCCCGGTCCAGGGTCGTACGATGTTGTCATTCCAACTCTTACCGCACCCACCACTCGCTTTGGAACCGCACATCGTACAATGGGGGCGGTGTCGCTTGCGGAAGTTGTTCCAGGCCCTGGGACGTACGATGTGGCAAACACCGCAGCGACGGCAACAGCAGCGGCCGCTGCGCCTGCCTACCGATTCTCAACGGCCCCACGTGAGCTACACGTGGAAGTCAGTGAAACACCCGGGCCAGGTCAGTATGGCGGCACCGGTGCGGAGGAAAACGGGTGGCGACGCTTTGCAGGGCCGTCATTTCCTACGGAACCGCGTTTTCCTGCTGGGAAGGAGGTCGATGCCCTCCCTGGGCCGGGTCAGTACTTGCCGCATCACCCGCAATGGGATGCGTCACAGGCCTACTCCTTTCCCTCCGGCAAGAAGGAGCTTTTGAGCGGCGAAGCTGAGATGCCTGGTCCAGGCACATACAATCCCACACATTTGCCCACAGGGCGTGCCGTGCATTTCGGCACTTCTGAGAGAATTCTTGGGCACGCAGAGCAGGACATAGAGTTGCCCGGACCAGGCACATACGATGTCAGCGTAAACAAACACGATGGGCCTGCCTTTTCTCTGCACCGCACTGCGCAACGTGGGCCCACGCTGGGGGAGGTGGAACAGTCTCATGTCCCAGGACCCGGCACGTACACATTGCCCCCCACCTTTCCTGCGACAGAGGGTGCTGGGACGGCTGTCTCCTTTGTTAGAGCTGAGCGTTTTAAGACGACCGGCGAGGTCGATGGGACCGGGCCACACACAATGCCCGGTCCAGGCTATTATGATCCACAGCTGCCCGCGCCAACAGCTGGACCTAGCATGGGTCGTGCGCCGCGACTGGCTGAGGTGGGCGATGGTGCTACGGTGGGTGGTGTAGACTTCCCAGGGCCGGGACATTACGAGGTCACGCGCGGAGACCCCATTCTCACCACAACACTTGATGGAGGTGTGGCGATGCGTTTTACCGCTGCACGTTTCCCTTTTAGTGCTGAGCTCACAGCGTCTGAAATGCCGGGTCCGGGCTTGTACGCTCCAGTGGTGCCACAAAGCACGACAGGTGGAGCGTCCTTTTCCCATGCCCCACGTTTTGTAGTGGCTGAGATGCGGGACGGGAGGGAGCAGCCAGGTCCAGGCGAGTATGGCATACCCTCCGTGTGGCATCTGCCGCAGGATGCTGGGTACTCCTTTGGCACGAGCACCCGGCTGGGACGCGCGGATACTGCGCAGGATACTCCAGGGCCAGGGAGCTACGAGACAGACCGCTACGCTGCACGGTACATGGCGGGCCCGGCGTTTACGCTGCTGGGGAAACCAACCTACAAGGAAGCACATGCTGGGGCTGACAATCCTGGGCCTGGCACGTACGCCCCTCAGCCAGTGGAAGCCGCAATTTCGGCCACAATTGGAACAGCCCCACGAACCACCGAAAAGACTGAGGATCTTCCGGGTCCTGGGGCGTACTTGACGAGCGGGCCAATTGTGATGCAGAGCCAACCTGCATTTAGCTTTGGCAACGCCCTTCGTCCTGACATTGTGTCACACACGCAACGTGATCTCCCGGGGCCCGGCGAGTATCACCACCCCATTGACCCAAGGCCATCGGTGCCGGTATTTACGTTCGCTGGGGCTGAACGTTTTCAGGAACTCGAGGGGGATATTGCTACGCCCGGTCCGGGGCAATACTACCACCACCCTCCTGCAAATTTGTCGCAGGGTCCATCCTTTACGTTTCCCCAAACCACCACAGCGACGCCTGGGGCAAATACAGGAACTGGCAGTGGTGTGGGTCCAGGGACGTACTTCCACCCGTCCCACTGGGACATGGCAGGGAACGGGCCAACATTTCCCACCACACTGGGCCACTTTTTGCCGGCGTTGGGCGCGGATGCGCCTGGACCCGGGGCTTATCACGTGGAGCCGCGTGTGCCTCCACCTGCCGCTGCAAGCGCGGCTCAGAGGAGGGAGTCGAAGACGCAGTGACGCCGTCCAAACAAAAAACTTTGTTGTGTGCGTCGCGCGTGTGGAGACGGTGACACACTGGTGAGGTAGAAATGGAAGAGGGAAAGGAGGCTCTCATCATACATATGCACCCATAGACAGTTTCTGTTTGGATTCTTTTTTTTTTTTTAAGGTGGGGGGGGGGGGGGCAGCGAAATGCGAAGGGAAGGAAAGAGAAGAAGGAAGCATGAGGGATGTCGGTTGCTGGAAGTGGTGGACCGAATCTTCCCTTGAGCTATTTTTTTTTTTGTTTGAGTTGCTCCTGCCTTTGTGCGACGTCTTCCTCTGTGTTACTATTTTTTCTTTGTTTACTCCCTGCGTGTACTTGTGTGTACGCCCGTGCGTTATGGGAATTGGTGCTCTGTCGCAATCGTCGAGCAGCGTTGCCGTGACCATTTTTATCTAGCCACCTTCTTCTGTTGATGCGGCACGTTAGCTTTATCCCCCCCTTTTTTTTTATCCTTTGGTGGGACGTCTGCTGCACCGTGGCACTCTCCTTCAGAGATTGGACTGCGTGCTGTGGGTGAAACTGGTGCTGTTTGTAGTTCGCCCCCACGCATGAAGCCGCAGGATCATCCACGACCGGGGGGGCTGGGTGCGCCGCAGGCAGTCCTGGGGAAATCAGCGGCGGGGGCGGCGGCACCGATGCCGTCGGCGCAGCAGTCAGTAGGGAGCCCGCCAAGACATTTGCGGGGCGCTTTGGGATTGGGAACTCCCGTCTCGCAGTTCAGCGTGCATCCTTCTACTGATGCAGCAAGCACAGGCAGCACAGCGGAATCCCTCCATCCCAGGGGGAAATTGGTCATGGTGCCCCCGCACCTCATGGGAAGGAAGGTGATCTTACCGCATCCGGCTGCCTTCGCCGATCCCCATGCGCCTTTGGCGCAACACGCCAAAAAACATGTGGTTTCATTCGTGAATGTGAAGCAGGACGCGCCTGGCCAACCTCGTCCGGGGCGAAGCGGCCCGCTGGAGCACGCACCGGGTATCCACGATGGCGTGTCTCCGCGTTTAGTCGCTGCATCGCCAGCGGGTCCAGTTCAGCTCGCGCACGCATCCTCTGTAAAGGCGCAACGCCCAGCTTACGTTGCGGGATACGGCGCGATTCCGCCGCCATCCTCTATTGATGATGGTATGAAACATAAATCGAGTGGTGGTCTTTGGAAAGGAATAACTTCACTCTTCAAGCTTAACACTGGCAAAGAGGAGCAGCGAATTGAACGTGCACCGCCAAGGACAAGCTACGCCAAAGCTGGAGCTGCCCCAATAGAGCGGAGGCCGGGTGCAGGAGCGGCTGAGGGAGGCAGAACGGCGGCTGCTGCTCCGACTCAAAATTCAGGTCAAAACACGGGTAGCCGAGCAGCTGGGGATCGGGCTTTCCCGCAGGAAACACCTCCGCAACAACAACAACACAACTGCCAGCAGCTGCAGTCGAAGCCACATTCCTCATCGTTGACGTCTGTCGGTGATGACGGGCAAGCCACGGCCCCGCAATCCGGCGATAGACCTGGATTGTCAGCCCTTCCCGCACTTCCAGTAGGAACAAGGTCAAGAACACCTCTGCTGGAGGCAACAACGCATCGAGTGACGCCGGTGGATCCTGCAATCACTCCTCTTGTAGTGCCACCCACCGTGTACCTGCGCAATGAAGCTGGGGAAGCCGGGATTGCACCATCGTCGTCGGTACAAGCCACAACGGATGGTGAAAGGGGCCAGCGTCAGTCACAGCAGGCACGACGTGTAGCCTTGTTTCCATCCTTTGCTATTGTCGACAGCGACGAGGATTCGTTGGCATTGGCAGACTCGGGGCAGTCCCAAATAGAGCCGAAAGCGACGACACAGGCCGATGTCGTTGGGCAAGTCGAGGCGGAGGCTTCGCAGGAGCAGGGGCATGGCTTCCTCTCTTCCGTCAGCGTGCTCTCCCCGCCCAGCCGGTTGCTGACCGAGCAAGACAAGAATGAGAGCACCGGCGCGCAGACGGCGAGTACACGGCTCCACGCCTCCTCAGGGTCACTGACGACGCCAGAGGTCAAACAGTTTCAGATGGTCAAAAAAAAGTCTCTGGACGCGTTGGCAATGGAGGCGCGGACTCCAGTGCGCCAGCCGTCAATTCAGGGGAGGGAAGCGGTGGATATACACCCTTCTATCGTCACGCCTCAGGGGAAGGGAGAAACCGATGCGAACCCGCCAAAGGAAACACTGCAGCAGTCTGCCATGGCGGTTTCCAGTGGGACGCAGTCACTGCAATCAACTAAAATAGGTGGAGATGTCCAGAACGACAAGACACTGCACACTGAGCGTTACCATCAGCCATGTAGCTCCTCCAGTTTGGGCCACCATGCAGCCGCACGCAGGCGAGAGGCTCAGCGGAAGGAAGATGGAGCAGACGATGGTAGTGATGGTCTCCACAAGCGTGGTTGCAAGATGCCGCCTCCCGCAGAAGAGCCATCGTCTCCAGTTGTGTCTCGCAAACTCTCTAGAAACACTGACAAGGCGGGGGATACGAATAGCGATGATAGCAATGAGGATGCCGCCAATAGAGCCCATGACAATAGGCGGTGGCACCGAAGCGACAGGCGGGGCACTGAGAAGGATGCCTGTCGAGAGGGAAGGAAACTGCTTTCGCCTCCCTCTTTCCTGTCAGTGCACTCCCCTATTTTTCACACCCGAGACGTTTATAAGCTGTACCAAGAACTTCAACGACAGCAGCACAAACTACAGCGTGATCGCTTCTCGCGCTGGCGGGCCCACAACGTCGTGTCGCCAGATAGGTATTCACGAGAGTCAAGACACATAGGTGGGCATTCGCTGCCGCAGCCGAAGGACTCGCGCCAGCCTTGGCGTAGCTCCTCGTTCCACTTAGGCTCACTGCCCCCACCTTCTCCACTTCTCCGTCCACTGGGCTACATAGGCTTCGGAGGCGGTTATAGCCGGTCTGTGGATGGAAAGGCGTTGCATTGCAAAAACGGCTATAAGGCTTCCCATGCTCCGAGCGGACAGTGCTCCCCGTATCAATCTCTGCAGCCGTCAAGGCTGGTTTTGGCGCAACGCGCCGAAACACCTTCCACTCAACGCCGGCGGTGGCTTCATCCGAATGAGCCTCGCGAGTACTCGCCAAGTCACCCATACGAGTTGGTGTCGTTCTTTCCACCGTGCATGTTTAACGAGTCCCGCAGAAGCTCAGCCTCCGCCAACGCAAGGGTCTGTGGCCACCGCACTACGAAAGATGGACCTGTCAGCTACGGCGGAGATAGCACCCCTGCGCGGGTGTACCCGGATTTAGATGGGCACGGAGAGAAGGCGGCCAAGGCATGCGGTGGAGCACAGGCGCAGGCTTCCCCAGATAAAAACGATGGAAAGACCCCAGAGAGCCCGCTTCCGCGGCACCCAAAACAGCAGCCACAGAGGGGGTGTAGAAGGCACCCTGTCTCTGTTACACCGCCGCGACCAGTATCGACGCGACGCCAACGAGACCGTCCGCGTGGAATGTTAAATGGTGGCACCGCATCTCCACCCTCGCGCCGACCTCAAACTCGCTCTGTAGTGAAGGATCTCACTGTGCGGCGTCTGCACCGCTGCTGTAGTGAGGGGGGCATTGCTGGTGGCGATCAGTTCCGTACCACTGGCTGGAGTGCAAACATGGCAAACACGGGACAGTGGCTAGATGAAGTGGTGGAGGCGAGTTTGGGTAAAGGGCGTGGGGATAGTGCGGCGGCACTCACCTCTGCCGGCCGCCTCCCAGTCCCTGTTGTTGATCTTCGCAGGGACTTCAAACCGTGCCTGGATCCTCCGCTGAATACGAAGGAGGCGTTTGGTGGACCCTATCACCGCGTTCACTGTGGTGTGAACTACAGTGCGTCCATCAAACGCAGCAGCGCCCACAAGAAGGGCAACGGGGTCTGCCCACAAGGGGCGGTGTCTCCACACTGCGGTAACCATACGGTATCCACCTCGCTTCGACGTAGCCCAGGCGACGCTGCGGTGACGGCGAGCTGTTCTCCGCAACGCCACTTTGTGGATGTTCCGCCGTTTCCACCGTTAAAGATGTACTCCTCCTTCCAGGTCAAGGAGCCGGATCGGCCCTCGGCGTGGGCTGTGGGGCCGGAGCGGAGTAATTTGCTGGCAGACTCCCCTACGGCGCGCCGCCGCATGGTCAAGCGCACGCACAGTGGGGACAAGTATGTAACCCCTGCGACCAGTGATGGAGGGCATCCTGCGGCAGAGGACGCCACCGCTGAAACGCGTGGAGAGTGCGTGGTTCTTGTAGAGGAGGTGCGCTTAGATGAACAGCGTCGCCCGTATGTAGTTATACGTGAGGTGCCGTGCGGCGCTGCCGCGGTGGAGGCGCAGAAAACGTCCGTCAACAGGCTCTCCACGCCGCGGTCTGTGTACTTGCGCCGTGACAACGGGGCCCCAAGCTGATGGGGAGGGTCCTTCACGACACACTGATGCCGGTAGTGAGACACGTATGCCCTCCCCTTTCTTCCCCTCCGTGCGGTTGCCTCCTTGTGTTTTATTTATTTTTCTCATTTCTTGTTTCTGTTAAAAGCATGCAAAGAAAAGGAAGAAGAAAAAAGACAATCATGAGGAGAGAGAGAGAGAGAGAGGCAAAAGAATGTAACGTTCAGATGTACGGCACCAAAGTAGAGCTGCGTGGTGTGAGGAGAGTGGGGAGTATGGTGGTGGTGGTGGGGAAGTTCTCCATATTTGTTTGTTTATTATTATTTTTTTTTGTCTTCTGCCCCGCCTGTGCGACTGGGTGGTACGAGCACCCGCCGTCCCACTCATTGCAGCCCGCAATGGAAGTGAAGAAGCCTCTCTGGAGAAGACGCATCCGGTTGGCGTCTCAGGGAATTATTATATGTGAAGAGATAAAAAAATAATAATTTTTTTTCTTTTTGTTGCATGTATTCTGAACACATCACTTCTCTCCGCTGCGTTTTGTTTTTCCACCGCCATCTCTGCGCGTGCGAGCCACACACACGCACAGTAACAGGGAAGGGAAAGGCGGAAGTTTGAGCAGCAACTGAGCGTGGCAACGGGGGAGGGAGAAGGATTTTAAGAAAACACACACGCTCACATAAGCAGGAGGGGTGTAAGGAAGAAGTAGCGGAAGAAGGAGGAAAAAAAGGGTGGGGAGGGGGCAAAGGAAAGAACGCCAAGGAGATTAGTAAGCGTCATTCATTGCATCTCTGTAAGCGTATTAT